TCATCAGGTGTGAGATTTCGACTACGTGATCCTTGATGGTTGGCTCCAAGGTCGATGATAGAGTTCTGCCTCGAGAACTGAGAATTTCCACCACCCTCAGCGACAGCCATGTCCTTGTAGGAGTCTCAACACGCGCATGTGTCACCAGTCCCAGTCATCCCTGCACCTGCATGCCCGACACGGCCGGTGCCGCAGCCGGTCGGCGGCGCTCCACGTGTGGCGGCCTCGCCCCAGCCACTCCCCGCTGCGCCGACCGCCGCACCTCCACCCGTAACCCGAGCGTGGCCGGCCGCTGCCGCTGCTGGAAAGCGGCGCACGCTGTTGCATCACCCGCCGAGACAAACAGAGCCAGGGCGGGCGGCGGCTGCGGCGGCGGCGGCGCCCGCTGCACTGTGCAGGTCGCCCCGGTAAATCAGTCGAGGTCGGCGCGGCCCATCCGACCCGACCCCGGGTCAGCCAGGTCACGGGTGTCGGGTAGCGGGCCCGTGCTGGGCAGGGAGCGCTGGTGAATGACTGGGAAAATCATGACCGGAGGTAAAATTATGCGCTCGGTGATCTTCACCTGAAAGTAATTCACTGAATGTGGGTTAAATGATTGTGCATTAAGATTGGGAGAGAGTAGGTTTGATGACACTATTTCGTGAAAAAGTTGCGTGTTACAGGGTTGTGGGGACAAAACCACCCCATGTGGTACATAACATAAAGATAGGATTTACCCAGAAGTGCGGTCGCTCAAGCTCTGAACCAACAAACAGCTAACCTGTGAACATCAACTTTTAACTTGTGCTCCACACGCAAGGAACATATCGTTGAACAGCGACTACCAGTGACACCGAAGCTAGAATACTTACGCATGTTTCGAGCCTCGTATTTCCCTACCATAGAAGGCGCGTTACAAGCCTCAACAAGGTCTGTGTTTCCAACAAGATCCGCACGACACCGCCCAAATTCAAGCCCACTGGCAAGGTCATCACGACGGCAACGTCACGCGTGCCCAGTTGGCCGTCAGATCAGTCCATGCGACGTTTAAATGGACCACGAACGCCGGCAATGAATCGTTCCGCCCCCCCCCCCCCCTCCGTTGCCCACCCCCCACCTGCGCGGCGCACCGGTCGGAACGTTACACAATGAATAATGCATGCGGGCAGGAAACCAGTCGGCGTCCCAGAGCAAGGCTGACTGCGGGGCGCTCGCCGGGCGTCCAGCGGCCACCTCCGACGCTCGGAGATAACGAATCGGTCCCGTACCACCGCCGCCGCCGCCGCCGCCGCCCGCCGACCGTGACTGCAGCCGGCCGAGTAAACAGCCATTGTTGGCGGCGGCGGCGCGGGCGCTCTTCGCGAGACGAAAGGAGGGCGCCGCGGGCCGCTGCCGCCGACAGCTGCTGCCTGTCGCTCGCGCGGCGGCCTGCATCCGGCTCTGAGCTGCTGCCGGGGTCCGCGCGGTCGCCGGCGGTGGAGTCCGCCTCTGTGGCACCGAGGGCCGTCACCGGCGCCAGGAACTGTCGATGGCGCTGCCGGCTGTTAACGGTGTCGCGCCCTGTCGCCGGTGCTGTAGGCTGATGCAAGCAGTCTGGGTGTCGTCAGCAGTGTGGGCGCCTGCCGGTGCTGCGGGGATCGCGGCCGACGCCATCTCGCGGAAAACGCCTTGTGCTGCCGCGTCCCGCGTCATGTATTAGCAGCATTGGTATTTGGGACGGTGGTTCCAGGCAGCGCTGCTAATAGCTGATTGCTCGGGCAAATGGGCATGGATCATGCAGCTACAGATGGATTGTACCAGCCGACACAAGAAATACCGGGCCGAGTAATGGCGGGCTATCGAGACCAGCAACCGTCACATCTCACGCCTGTGACAAAAGAGCATGGCTGCAGCCAAACTAATGCGTTCTGACCAACAATCAGCAGCAGTTGGGATGGTTTAACACCAAACAGCCGTTTTTCATTTCTACACTGCATAACTGTCCGGTTTTCGATAGTTGCCACCACGTCTGACACGGAGCACTTAACCGTAAGCGCGAGCGTGTGGCACGACCTATCAGCTGTAGCGCAGCACGCAACCGATATTATCAGCAATCGTAAACTGCACCGCTGTCAACCTAACCGCCCTGCCGAGAACAATAACATCTGCCAGCGCGGACAAACAACGGTAGCCGCCGCACGGCATGCGAAGTCAACAGCCCGGCCGGGTGCCGTCAACAGTCCGGGAAAGGCCCCGGGGGCAGCTCGGGCCTCTCCTGACGCCGGAGGCCGGCGTGGCGCGGGCTGTCAACAGGCCTGGACAAGCCCCGTGGGCGGCTGAGGCCTCTCCCGGCGCCAGAGGCCGGCGCGGCACGGGCCGTCAACAGGCCGGGAGAGGTCCCGAGGGCAGCTGGGGCCTCTCCTGACGCCAGAGGCCGGCGTGGCGCGGGCTGTCAACAGGCCTGGACAAGCCCCGTGGGCGGCTGGGGCCTCTCCCAACACCGGAGGCCGGCGCGACCGGGGCCGGCCACGGCCGGCGGTGTCCGGCTCAGCGGCGGCTCAGCCGGCTTGCAGTGATTCGGGGTCAGGCACAGACCGCCGGGAGATCCCGAAGGCCGCTGGCCCTGCTCCACCGGCGTCAACGGCGCTGCGGCACGAACGCCGCCACCAGGGAGCGTCCCGCGCCGACCGGCCCGGCCCGGGTCACGGCTGGGTCGCGCTGGGTCACCGCCGGGTCACGGGAGGGGGAGGGCTGCCGGTGCGGCAGGTGTGAGCGGTGTCTTGACAGCATGGGGCCTTGCTGAATAGGTAGTTGCGCTTCCGAGCTGTGGTCCGTTGTGGGTCAGGTGAGGATAGCATCGCATTGTCCTGGTTTCTGACGTCTCCAGAGTGGTTTGACGGTATCTTTTGACGGCTGAATATCTATGGGGCTTCTGCGTCAAGAGACCTAGAAAGCACTTCTACCGAGAAAACCACAGCTGCGTTTCTACGAAAATCGCAAAGTTTTATTTCAAAACCGTCTTCTTGCAAAGAACCGATATTTTTGAGAAGGTTGAGTTGCTCTCACGTGCAAAACACACGTGCAAAACAAAACGCACGAGCAAAACAGCGGTATTCTTGCGCAGTAAATGTGTTTATTAATAAGCTTATTATTGAATTTATAAGCTTAAACTGTTAGCATATCCTATATTTATAAACTTGTTCATAAGCTTACTGGTTTAAAGTTAATGCTGGTGTTCTAGATGCATGGTGACAACAAAATGACTTCAATGCGCGAGGAGAGACTGACAAACAGGCAAGGTACAGCAAGATTATTCGACCTGACATATTATCGTGAGACCATATCATTGTATCTAACCGACTCTCAACAAAATTCGATCTTTTTCTATCATGCTTTTTGATTGAAACATCGAATCCTTGTATGATGATAACTGTTTGATACCTTCTCTATTCACCGCTATCTCATAGTACACTGAAGGCCGATTATCATCACTGTTCGTGTATAACGTCATCAAAAGGAATGTCAAAGAAACAGTAGTTTAATGCATTTCTCCACCGTATCTAGAATGCATACACTTACGCTACTCCTTTAAATTTTCCAGCAACGTTTGAAATCCAACATTTTGACGGTAGATCGCGGAAAATACGTCACAACCACCACGTGCAACTGTCAAGGCAGCCATGAGCCGCCCTGCAAGTAAATCCGGCGACATACAGAATTTTTACCGGCGCCGATCCACAGGCTCGGGCCCACCATGAGCCGATCCCTTCCCACGCCTGCTAGAAAAACGCGCGCGGTCTGGCGGTGCAGCGGCCACTGGGCCGTCACGGACGCGGAACAGACCCGCCACTTGGCCCGGCCGTGAGACCGGGTGACCTGGCCGCGCTGGACGCACCACTGAGCGGGACACTTGGACGCGCTGGATGCACCAGCGAACGGAACACCTGGCTGCTGGACGCACCACTGAGTGAGAGATCTGGCCGTCTTGGACGCACCACTGAACGGGAGATCTGGCCGCGCTGGACGCAACACAGAACGGGACACCTGATAACGCTGGACGCACCTCAAAACGGGAGACCTGGCTGTGTTGGACGCACCACTGGGCGGGAGATCTGGCCATGCTGGACGCACCTCTGAAGGGGAGACCTGGCCGTGCTGGACGCACCTCTGAACGGGACACCTGGCCATGCTGGACGCACCTCTGAACGGGAGATCTGGCCGTGCTGGACGCACCACTGAACGGGAGATCTGGCTGTGCTGGACGCACCACTGAACGGGAGATCTGGCTGTGCTGGACGCACCTCTGAACTGGAGGTCTGGCCATCCTGGACACCCCACTGAACGGGACACCTGGCCGTGCTGGACGCACCACTGAACGGGAGCGCGGCCGCCTACGCCAGCCAAACAGGCACGTGCGGCATGCCGGGTGTGGGCGGGCAGGCTCAGTGGGCTCCGGCACGAGCTGGTGCAGAATTGGCCCGCGGACCGACACGAAGCTGGTGTGGGCGTTGGCGGCGCGTGTGTTCCGGCTGATAGCCAGGGTAAGGATATCGTGGTATTTAGTAGGCTGTGAGCGTCGACAATGCCTCTTGTCACAAAAGTTTTGGTGCAAAATTCTGCGAGTGTGATTCATTCTGAGAGCACATGTTCCCAACTGGCACGCCTTGACGTGCCTTCCAGCGTATTGCTTACCAAAAAATATTATGCCATGCAATCTACGCATCTGTTGCGTATTTACTTTACTATAGAAATTGATGCGTTAACAAGCACAAGCAATCGCGGTAAGTTTTATCTGCTGCGCTGCAGGTTCCAGGCGCTCGCGGAAGCAAGTATGCTCTCCTGGTTCTATTCACGGTCGCCGGGTTTGACGCAAGACCTGCTGACAACGCTGCGGACGCAGCACATCCGCAACCCAGACTGCATCGGGCGCATGAACGCAACATGACCCCAGTGACACCCCTCCCCCCGCTACAGCGGAACGTATCCGGACCGAGTTTCACCCCGAACACGGCCCGCCGTCTGCGCCGTAGCGCGACACTCACCTCCGGCAGATTGGGGCCAGGCCGCCAGCACGGCGAGCAGGCAGAGTCCGGTGAGCCGGCCGGCCGCCAGCATGGTGACGGCGGCAGTCACACGCGGCGTTTGTACCGGCGGCGGACACACGAGCAGCTCCCGTCCCGGCGGCGTGCACACGTGCAGCTCCCGTCCCGGCGGCGGACACACGAGCAGCTCTCGTCGCGGCGGTGGTCACACGTGCTCGCGCAGGCGGCGCAGAGTCGACTGCGGCCGGGCGGCGCGGCGCCCGAGCCGGCAGGGCCAGCCGGGGGTGTGGCCATGCCGCTGCCGGACGGGTGCCGGGTGTTGGGAGACAGGGCGGTGCAGGCGGGGCGGGGTGCCGCTATGCTGCAGCGCGTCAGCTGGGGAATAAAGTGGCCGAGCCGGGTCCGGGCACATCGGTGTAATGCTACCTTGCGCTCAAGTGCTTACCTGCTCAGGGTATTAGCACCATACCGGGCCAGACCGGGAGTTTGACCGGTTTGAAGCACATTGCCGGTTGGTGGGGGATAACCAGACAGGCCCAAGGTGTGGCCCCACTGTACACTGCACGTTTCGTGACCCGATAGAATGGCTCACCCTCAGCCGAGCGCGTGACTCGATTGCATCATCGGCTCTGGAAATCCAACCGCGCTTAAAGGTCACAGACACACACCCGTTCAGTGACCGAGCCCTCTCCACGGGTAAGGCGACGTGCTGCCTGAGCGTGTGGGGCTCCAGATGCGCGCAAGGTGAAGAGTGCGCGAGTTAGCGTGAAAATCATGTGTGGCTCTCAAATCGCGAGCGATGCGCGTAGACTGCGCCACTTCACATGTGCACGTTTATCGCACTTTGAGAACCACATGCGATTAGCGCACAAACACGCCAATTACACGACAAACGCGCATCTGAATCCCTCCAGGCCAAGCTTATTCGGTTCACGCCCGGGACAAAGCCAGGGGCAAGACCAGGTACACAGCGTCAGGAGGTAAACAGGAGGGGTGAGCTCGCAGTGACCCGGATGACAACGAACCGATTCCGCCGACGTCGCTCAGAACATATGCTCGAGATCCATCTCCGTTTGGCGTTAGCGCGACCCGGACGACATAGACTTTAGGTGGTATAGTCTATGTCGTCTATGTAGGCTATGTAGGCTATTTGCTATTTATCGTATAAGCTATGTAGGCTCTTTGCCAGCCGCCCAAAATACGCTTCCGTCACCTGATCAAGGTGAGAAGATGGACAGATGGAGTAACGGCGTAGCGTGTCCATCTATAAACAAGTACGTTTGTCGGCCTACAGCCGACGATGGAAGACAAATAAAACAGAAACAAGCAAACGTGTCATGCGTCATGAATAGTGTTATCCGCAGTTGTCATTGTGCGTATCGGATACGTGCGAGCAAAAATGCTGATGGCTGACATGGCCAATTACTGTCACAAAAATGACCAAAAATGAGAAGAATTTGTGCCCAGCTTCGAACGCGTCGATTAAACGCGAAAGAGTGCCAGGTACGCTGCAAGCACACCCTAGATCAGCCTAGCCTGTTCACCTGAGTGGGCCCCGCAGGTTCGGACCGAGGCGCGCTATACACCAGTCATCAGCTGACAGCAAACATTCGATTTAATGACCTCCAACTGACACGGCCGCCCAAATGACATCAGGGATAATGTGTGAGCATACGCGGGAAGCATATGCCGAAGCACAACATGGCCATGGAGACTGGTTGGTTTGAGCGCTGCGCCATGGCCCCCGTAAACCCTCCACAACACCAGGCGGTTCCTCACAATGAACAGTTTTTGCGGTCATCCAGCGTTTACCGCCTGTCGCGGTGTTCTGTCTGTCCGACCATTCGTGTCCGCTATAGACGACTTGTTTACACGGTTATGGCCGGCACTGCTTGGGACCCTCGCGTGAACAAGTGGAGCACGAAGCTCTGCTTTGTCGTTGGAAAGTGTGCATTTTGCTTGTTGAGAGAGCACTTAGAATTGACGTTAAGAAACTTTGTCGTATCTCTGCCGATTTTGACATGCACGCTATTTAATGACCTCCAGCTGACACCTCAGCCCAAATGGCATCGAGGATAATGTGTGAGCGAACGCTGCATGTGCGGGGAGCATACGCCGAAGCAGGGAATGATCATGGAGCCTGGCCACAGTACCTACCGATATATTTCACACTAGCAGCACGGCTGACAATGCCGTCAAATACTTTATCCGTGGCTGTTAGATTCCTTGAATCCAGGTTCATAAAGCAACAGAGATCCTTTGTCAAGGTAATGCACGCACGTTTGAGTTACAAGAACTAAGTAAGCCACCTCGTGTCACGAGGGGCGTGCGATGTGAGGACAGTCTTGACAGGTGCCGATGATGATGCACTGAAAAACCCCGCTCTGGACGTGTTTGAAATATACGATTGATTGATAGTAGTGTGAATGCGTCTAGGCTAATGAGACCATACCAAGTTGTTAATATTTAGCAGCCAGTAGAAATGGTTTCAAACTGTTTATTGAAAATTCCATTTTTCCAGACAGTTTAATACAGTGTTTGGATACGTATTCGCCACAGTCATGATTCACAACTATGACACTTTGGGTCTTGTTGGTCCGGTAAACACAGTCGACGAAGTGAATGCAACTGCAGTGATATACGCTGATGCGCAAATATTTTGGGTGGATATTGGACTCTGTAATTCGACTTTGGAATTGCATCATGCAGGCCTCCTGGGTCAATCTCGCTTGGTTCAGACCACAATGTGTTGCACTGGAAACCGCGGTTTCAAAAGAGGTGACATTGGGCGCTGCCTATCGCTTGATGATCCAGCGGCGTAGGTCGGGTCGGGGGGGGGGGGGCGTATAAAGGAGTGTCCCGCCCTTGGGGCATATTTCAAAAGCATGCTCTAGTGAAACCTCTGACTAGTTACGTCTAAAAAGTGCACTGGGTAGTACCACTGCAACACCATTAAGAAATAACAAGGATATAAATCAGGTTATTTTCTAGTTACGCTGTCAACGTTTTGTAACGGCACTATGCTTCTTCTCTGCAGTCGCGACAGCCGTCATCATGACGGCGGCAGAATCTGTTGGGGGGCCGTCGTCAGCTGTTACTGCATGACGTCAGTACAAACGAACGTTCGTGATTCGCACAGCGGGCTGCAAAGGCCAATTACCGAGAAGCGCGTTGGTTGAAGATCGAACCAGTGCGTCACTATGGACCATGTGATACTCCGTTTTCCAAAGCTAAAGTGAGCTTTGAAAAGAGCCACTGTAGCAAACGTCATAGCTTAGGTGAGCATAAGGGAACAATAAAGGCCGTAGCATACCGTAGTTTCGTTAAATTTGTGAGATAATAGCTTCTTGTTCGCATATATTTTTGTCAAAAAAGAGCGTTTCGAGCTTTGTGCAACATCTATTGCACAAACATGTTGTCGGGTTAGTGTGCTGCGAACATTGCAAAACACACACGTTACAGAAAGCGAGGAAAATTAAGTGTGTTACTTTCATCATAGTGAGCAAGGAGTCCTTTAATTTTCTCCCGCAGGGGCGACTACTTCAGATCGAAATTGTGGACTGGAAGAATTATTTCCAGAAAACTGGTATTGATGACCAAATATTACGCGCTTGGTCTTGCAAGACGTGAAAAGTAAGACAAAAGTGTCGCACTCCCTTTAAGAGCACTTAGCGCTTTCCAGACAATACATCAGCAGATAAGCTACGCAAGTTGCCTAGATTTCACGCTAATGCATTGTTCGTGACCGCTGCCACCGCCCGCAGGTCATATCTGTTAAGGGCAAAACTGTGTTTCCACCACTTTCCACTGCGTTTCCACTATCTTCTTAAAAAATAATATCGGTTGAAAGGGGTGCAATGTATTAACTAAGGTATTAATCACTTTCGCCAATATTTGGATGTCCTGGGCCGCAAGCATGAACCTGTAAACTGCCTTTTCCCGGGCACTGACAAAGTTCACCACCACATGCCAGCATTGGCTTATCGCTTTTAATTGTAACTGGGCTTCATAATCCTCCTGTATAGGTAAACGCGATGTCCATGTAAGCATTCGCGCGCCTCCAAGAATAAGCTGGGTGTAATGCTTTTGTGATCCATTGACACAATTAAAAAACAAGGTCATGACCCGCCTGGATTAACAACATGTCATATACATATATATATATATATATATATATATATAATGTGTCACACTTTAACATTCATTATGCATTATTAGCGAAATATGTTGCGCAAAATTCGGAAATGGACATGCATTATTCAAAGCTTGTTGAAAATCTACATTTTTATTTTCCGACAACAGTGCTAACCATGCCACAATTTTTTTGTTTTGTCAGATGCTTTAGGTCCCACTAGCATAGTCATCATTTTTATCACGCATCCAACGTGATGACACATTGCACAAGCATAGCTGACCAAAAATTAGTAGCTCAAAGCATTTCGATACAAACCGCACAGGTGAGTTGGTTGCATTGGCGCAGGATTCAGTAAAGAAAACGCCAGCCGAGCAGCTTCCTTATCTAGGTCACACTAGCACCATCCGACTGCGGTCCTGCAGCTTCCCACGGGCAAAGCCGGGAACGGTCCGTGGGGCTGCTAGGACACGTGTTCCACTCCCCTGATCGGAAAGTTAGTGCGGCCTCCTAGATGTTAGGACTTCGAAGACACTTTTTTATAGAGGCGTCCCTGAACGGGCGCTCGGCACGGACCAGAACAGAACAGGGTGTATAATATGACGCAGACCCAAGGGTGTCATAAATTTTGCGGACAAGGGAGGAGAAGGTGCCCCTGTGTGCTGAATGGGCACTCATGTGGCTTGAAATACTTACTGAAGTCTAGAAGAATGTCCTAAAGCATAAAAGTACATCCCGAGCCCCCAACTAGAGGAAAGCCCCCCCCCCGAAAATTTATTTGAATGCCTGTAGTCCATGTCCCGAGAACGAGAACGAAATTCTCTCTAACAGAAGGGTGTCCCAACAGCTGGAGAGAAGTCCCGATGGTACGCAGGGTGCCCCTGAAGTTACCGGACACGTTCCGCGGGGAAGGAGATTGGCTAATGGAGCAAAAGTTTCCAATACTGGAGGGTAACCTGAGCGC